TGAATTGAATTTAAAATTTGTGGTCCAATAAAACAGGAATAGGAAGTGATCTACCTCTCCCCATATTTATTCTTAAAACGTCTTGTAATTTCTTATTGGAAAAACTTGTATAACTTTTCACTTGATGATCGACAGGAATTAGATTCAAGCCAGGACATTTTAACTTTTTTAATGATAAAATAATGCCGCTGGCTACCTATTTCCAATATAATGTGACTTCTACAATAGGTAGCATTAAATTCATATGTTCTAGTGCTTACATGAGTAAAAGAAGATATCTTCTTCTTACGATTATCTTATAGTGACGTTATATGTCCCTTAGATAAACATTGTTTACAGGAAAGGAATGATTTTTCTGAAGTCCAGGGCAACAATCAACCCTATGTCTGACATCTAATACATAAATTCAAATATTTGCATCTAGCCGAATGGTACTCATAGGTAGCATATTTCGTACACATCTCCATGGGGTGACTAAGTGGTGCACAAAATATACTTTGTGTTTTAATGGCGAAATTCTGTAACGCTGCATCAATATTTTCTTTTTCATTAAATTTATTACTTTAATATAATTTTCATATACACAGAAAGGCTTCTTAATTTTCGTTAGTGTGCTGATGGCTTCACTATATTTCTCAAATAAATCCTTTAAGGAAGGGTAACTGGCAGATATCCCGTGAAAGATTTCCCGCCTTAAATTATGGCATAGGTTATCAAGTATGGTGTGCCTTACGAACTAGAATCCATCGGAGTCTTCCTAAAAATCCCATACCATACGAGGTTATTAACTCGGACAAATCAGTCCTCATTTCGGCAGGAGAGTTTTTAACACTCACTAATAATCACTAAATCCGGGTCGTATTTAGGAGAACTGGTTTTTATTTGTTTGCAGATCTTATCAATTATAAAAGGCACATCCAAAAATTATTTCAATAACAGTCTTATAGATATCTCTTAATTGTATTCTTCTAAGGTAAGGTGTACAGCGTAGCCAGCTAGTTGACTCTTCAAGAGGACTAGATTCGCTTGTTAGAATTGATGAAATTAGAAATTATTACAGTTTTTAAACTGTGCTATATTATTCTTAAATTGAAAATTTGAAGGATTAAAACCGCTAAAAGTAACACAATGTAATTTGGGGGTTGATATCATTCAATGGCTGCTTGCAAATCATCTGGGTTCACTTCCGTGGGAAATACTCGTTTCTCGAACAGATTCTTCAATATTAGCAAGTTGAATATTGATTATTTTTAGACTTTATTAAAATTTAAGCTAAATGCGTGACCTCTCCTTGTTCGAAAAAAAGCAAATTATTGAAGCTCGCATGGCAGGAGCCTCGATCACTAAGGTTGCTGAATTGTTTGGTTTTTCAAGGGCTACCATATCAAGAATACTAATGCAATTCGAGAAACAGGGCAAGACCTTTAGCAACCGTAGCAATTCGGACTGGACTTGCTGACATACACTGAAACGCAATGTGGCAAAAAATCATCGGATAGATGCGGCTAAAGTGAATGCTGAGTAGTTCAGTTTCTACTGAAAAACTGTTCACCTAGAGCTCCATAAGTCTGCATATCACGGAACAGCCGCTGTGAGGAAACATCTTCTCTCCACTCGCAACATTCAAAAGAGGTTGAAGTGGTATAGAGATCACAATGCTTGGGCTGTAGACAAATGGAAGCAAGTCATATTCTCAAACAAGTCCAGTTTCCGAGTGTAAAACAAATCAAATTTCAAATCGATTGAACCGAACCATTTTGCCATCAGATATGTTGAAATTGTAAATATTCATTAAGTTATAGTCGTCAGAGATAAAATGGGAAATTTGATAGTGTTATTGGATCTTACCCATAATAATAATAATGGACTATTCCATACATAATAAATACTGCGCCTCAGGAATAGGCGAAGTCTTCTTCGGGGAGGTAAACCGACCCTGAACCCGTTTATACGGGTTCAATGGGCATATTTTAGGCCGAGCCCACGGGATCGGAATGCCCACGTTAAAAAGGCCTTGTGCCACATGACAGCATCGTGGGTGGGTGACTTAATATCGTCAGTCGTTCAATTCTTAACCAACTGTTCGGTTTATCACTCTTCATACGGATGGGAGGAACCCGAAGGAGGCTCTGCCGAAGGGCTGATTTTCCTTCGCTGAATAAACAGGCCATGAATCCGTTTATACTGGTTCAATGGGCATATTATTGACCGAGCCCATGGGCTCGGAATGCTCACGTTAAAAGGCCTTGTGCCACATGACACCCTCGTGGGGGTGAATGAATATCGTCAGTCGTTCAATTCTGAACCGACTGTTCGGTTGAACTCTCTTCCTACGAACGTTAGTTATATATCCGATGAGATGCTGGAAAACAATTAGCGACTTACCTTACTTAAACATTAACAATATCGCCCAAACATAAAATTTAAGCTTAGATTACATTAATTTCAACGAGGAATTTATATCACCCTCTGACAAAAATTATTTTTATATATATATATATATATATATATATATATATATATATATATATATGTCTGTGTGTGTGTGTGTGTGTACGGATTCCGTTATATTGTCTCGTTTCTTACTTAAAATAAGATATTGAATAAAATGTGTTTTTATTTACGTTGAAATGAGAACTTGATTGATGCAATCCAAACTTAATACGAAGAAGAAAAAAAATAATTCCTTTGAAAAGTCTGTTTTAACAGCTTATGGAAATTTCAAGTGATTTCTCTGATTGCTTCTTCTACAGTAGAAACCAAAAAAAAAAAATTAAAAGAATAGGTTATTTTCGATACAGTCTTTCTTTCCGTTTAGTCTTGACCGTTTATTCGAAGAGTGCAAAATAGAATCTGTCAAGTTGGAGTGAATGCTGAACATTTGTAGGTTGAACAATTTCCTATTTCGAAACGAACTTTGCAAGTAAGCTAACTTGGAATATTTCTTAGACTGTAATTCTTGAATTTAAGCATCGTTTTCTAGATGATTTTTCCTGTAAACATATACACATACATACATACATAAATACATCTATAGTTATATATTTATATATAGATAATTACTATTATCCGATATTATTTTTTATTACTATAAATGTTATTTTTAGTGGGTACAGTTGTTTGAGTTGTTTTTTAAACAGTGCAATTGATAACTGCCAGCCTAAATTGAAAAGTTTAAGCAAAATTTTCTCTTTAGTAAGACTTTACAAATTAGGCCAGTTGTTATTATTTTAAATGTTTAATAAGATAAAAAAAAACAATTATGGCAACACAAATAACTGTACCTACTAAAAAAAGTATATGTATATATATATATATATATATATATATATATATATATATGTATATGTGTGTGTGTGTGTGTATGTGTGTGTGTGTGTGTAAGTGTGCATGAATGTAGAAGATTATTGTTTAAAATTAACTACATTTAATAGGTAAGAATTGTTAGTAGAGCGTATGTTATTATAAATATTGCGGTCATCTGAATCAAAAGAGCGATGTAATGTCATTTTTAGACTTCACTGCAAAATTATGATGAATTATACAGATACATATACGTGTGTGAGTTTCTGTGTGCATGAATCTTTGTGTGTTTTGTGTGTCGTTGTAAATACATATATATATATATATATATATATATATATATATATATATATATATATATATATATATATATATATATATATATATATATATTAGATTCGTGCAAAACTTCGTACCTGATTAGAAAGTTAAAAATAAATTTTACATACTCCAAAAAACATTTATTAGTCAAATACATAATTCTACAAACTTTTTGACGCCATGTTCGTGGGAACTTTTGGTTTTGGTGGGAGGTGTTGAGATAGCTTTCGAGTGACTGTACAGAGTCAACTTTGTGTCATTTAAACTGGGCGAAATGAAAATACGAAGAAACCAAGTTAGTATACGATGAGTTCTGGAGTGTTTCCCATTGCAAATCTTGTAGCTTCTGGACGGTATCTTTTGCAACATACGTTATGGTGGCGGAAAATGACACGTTTCCATTTGTCAATATCGCCCTTTTTCATCAAATAGCGAAAGGCAGTTGAGATATTTATCTTCAAACTCTTAGCACACTCTTCCATCGAAATCTTCGGTTAATTCTACAGGTTGACAAGCAGTGCGTATTCATTGGCGTCAGAAGATCGACCCGATAGTGGTTGATCGTTTAACTTGAAATTATCCTGATGTAATCTGCCAAACCTATTTTGACCACCGGAATAGATGGAGCACCATCCTTGCATTCTCCTCACCGGCATCACGTGCGTTAGAGCCAAGCTGCATATGCAGCAGGCAGCTTGACCCCGTTTACGGCCAAGCCTTGCGCTTGCCAAATCATGCGCTATGTAATTTCAATTTCCGCTGCTAGAGCTGTAGAAGACGTACTGAAAGTCTTGAAAGGTTGAAGACTGTTAACCTGCGCCGCCATGCACAGCGAGGGTTTTGTCGCCCTCCAAAGCAGTTTTGGTTTAAGCTGGCGTTCAACTATTAGCTACTTTTGAGGCTTTCTGGTCACAAAGACCTCCAAATAGGATCCATGTCAGTTGTCTGTGGGCATTGCAATGCCAAAAAATGGACTTGAGAGTCTGCAGGATTGTGTTGTTCAGACGATAAGGTACAGATGCCACCTTTTCAAGGGGCTAACTGCTCCGTTGAAAGCTCTGTTGGAGGGTTCCAGTCCAGAATCCAAACATTTCCTTGCAAAAATCAGACATTATAATTGTGCCTTCCAGATGAGCTTTTTTGGTGGTAATGCCTTCCGCGAAGTCGGTTGGAATCGCACCTTCAAGTTTCAAGGTCAGGTTTACCACCGGATTGGGTCTCTTTTGCCGAAAACTTCCACTGATTCGGCCTTTCTCCAAATATACTTCATAGCTGACTACAATAAACAGGCAGATGCCCGCATGGGCATTATTCCCGAGAACGATACAGGCTAGGACAATCATCATCGCAGGGATATCATAATGAATCTCCAACAAATGCTCCACGAGACAAACAGCTATGTCCGCAGTTTTAAGTATGCTCTCGAAAATAACACTTCTTCTGATTTCATTATTGTATTTGATGATGACAAACGGCTTCAGGGAGAGCACGAACGTCGTTACAATGCTCCCGCAAGTAACGAAGTTTCCGTCATTGTCAGTGGTGATCAGCACAACAGACGTGACATTGTTATCGAATCTCGCGGCAGTGGGCTCCGAAGAATCAGTGAAACGCACCGGTCCTACGATGCACTGCAATACCCACTTCTCTTCCCCTACGGAGAAGATGGGTACCACTTTAGCATTCTGCAAAATGGGCCCCACTTACAAACAGTGTATTGCAGGGCTTTCTACGCTTATCTATTGATGGTACATGAGGGTGCATTCAATCATCTTCATCGAAGCCGGACACGTTTCCATCAATTCATAGTAGACATGCCTGCTAAGATGGAAACCGAAAGACTCTGTTACATCAGATTGAATCAGACCAGGTTACGCTGCGACTTTTACATTCACCTCCGTGATGCTTTACGAAATGACCCTGATCCACGCAATATAGGCAAGATGTGCATAATACATGCAACGTTCACAGGCTGTCCACGATACATGCAGGCGAGGACGCAAGACGCGATGACATACGTTCGTAAGTACGGCCGTCCAGACCTATTCATAACTTTCACGTGTAACCCATAATGGTACGCAATTACTAAAGAACTTATGCCAGGGCAATCGGCCTATGACCGTCCAGATCTCATTGCGTGCGTTTACCATCTGAAGTCGAGAAAGCTAATGAATGTGATTACAAAGGGCCAGGTTTTGGGGGCTGTTTGCCGTCGCATGCACACTATTGAGTGGCAGAAACGCAGCCTGTCTCACGCACATATACTAATTTGGCTGTACGACAAGATTGAGGCCACAGAAATCGATCATCTTATTTCTGCTGAAATTCCGGATCCGTCGGCTGACCCTGAATTGTACGAAACAGTGATAACCAACATGATTCATGGGCCCTGTGGATCCCATTACAATTACACCAGCTGTTACAATAGCGACGGCAAATGCTCCCGGCAGTAACCACGAGATTATGTGAGCGAAACCATTACAGGGAGCGATAATTATCCACTCTACCGGCGAAGGTGTCCCGCTGAGGGAGGATTTACCACCGTGGTAAAGGGCCAACAAGTGGATAGCAGATGGGTAGTGCTATACTGTCCCCTGCTAACAAAAGCGTTCAATGAGCACATCAATGTCGAATATTGTCATTCAGTTCGCTCCATCAAGTATGTATGCAAGTAAATCAACAAAGGGACTGATGCTGCAATATTTGGTATTGGGCAGGGAGATTCCGTAGACAAAATCCAGGACTTCCTTGCAGGGCGCGTCATTAGCAGCATAGAGGGCCCTTGGCATATATTCAATAACGGCATTCACGAACGCTTCGCAGAAATCTTCCAGCTTGCTCTGCACCTAGAAAAATATGAACTTCGTTATTTTTCTGCGCGTACCAAAGACACAACGCTTACAGCGTTCTTCAAACTTTGTCGACAGGACGAGTTTGCTAGGACTCTACTGTACCCAGACGTGTCTTCATACTACGTGTGGACAAAAAAGAATACCTGGGCTCGGCGGAAGTGCGGGTCCAACGTCGAGGGCTACCCAGGCGTCAAAAATGACGCGAAACTCGGAAGGGTATTCACGGTTCTCCCATCGCGACAGGAATCTTTTTACTTGCTACCCTTCTTGCACGAAGTTACTGGTCCAACGAGCGAAAATATCTTACGGAAGGTTAATTGAGTTTTATGTGACACTTTTCGTGAGGCCTGCCTCCGTCTCGGCCTTTTGGAAGACAACAGCCACTGGGATGCCACAATGGCTGAGTGAGCTCTTTTAAAAATGCCATCTGCTTTGCGCCACCTCTTCACCACAATCTTACAAATGTGCGAACCCAGTGATCCCAAATCATTTTGGGACAAATACAAAGACTTTTTGTTCGAAGACCGATTCAGAGAAGCGCAACTGCTGTGTCCAACAATGGCTCTTACATTCAACGATGAAATTTACAACAGGGCGCTTATAATCTTTGAGAACCTGTTTGTTGAAATGGTGGGGGGAATCTCACGCCGCTATTGGGCTTCCAACGCCAGATCGTGTGTCTTCCTCCTGTCTCTCACTTGAGATTGTGCTGGAGACATCCTACTCTGTTGAGATGCTCAACATGTATGTCACAACAAATCAGCCAACACTTCTCACAGACCAAAGGGCCGCTCAGGATGCGGTTTTTGCATCCACCAGTCAGGACACGGGATCAATTTCCTTCCTGGACGCGCCTGGGGGAACGGGAAAAACGTTAGTAACAAAACTGTTTCTTGCAGAAATTCGGTGCCATGGCAAAGTGGCCCTAGCAGTATCGTCTTCAGGCATTGCTGCCACATTACTACCGGGTGGCCGAACAGTGCACTCAAAGTTTAAACTTCCGCTTAACCTGATTAAGGCAGAAACAGCTGTATGCAGTATAGACAAGCAATCAGGTCTAGCGGAGGTACTCAGGAGATGTAAGATCATCGTCTGGGATGAGTTTACTGTCAGTCCAAAACTGCACTCGAGGCTGTAAACCACTCTCTGAAGGATATTCGAAACTCCGATGACCTTATGGGAGGTATAACTGTCCTTCTATCCGGTGACTTTCGCTAAACCCTCCCCGTTGTACGCAAGGGGACAAGGGCCGACGCTATTCGAGCGTGCTTGAAATCGTCACACCTTTGCCCCACTGTTAGACCATTGCCCCTTACCACCAACATGCGTGCACACCTAACTGACGATGTTGGGTCCGCCGAATTTTCGAACGTATGCAACCAATCGCTGAATGCAAAAAAGGGACGCATCTTTTGCCCAAAAGACAGCGCTGTTGCTTCCACAATCAGCATCACAATGCGTGAGCAGTTAGATGTTGTTGCAACGTAATCAAGTAAAGTTTCTCCTCGAGAAGCTTCCTCAGTTTGACCACTCAAATCGAAGAGTAATAGGTCTTTTCAGTTCTGCAGTGGTGACTCAACTTCCGACATTTACGGCGTCAATTCGTAACGGAGACAGATATTCAATTTTGACTCAGGCTTTCAAAAAATTGGTAATTCTGCTGGTACTCCGGTATTTGGGCGGATTACATTCTAAAATTTCGGACGTTATTTACAATTCAACCAGAAATTCCTACACGGCCCAGTTAGAGGTGCCTTGCATAGAATGCCGCTTGACTCCGTCGTGACTCAAAAATCGATACAAACCTTCGTGTTGACCATGCCGTCAGCAGTCCATTTCCCACTTCTTTAAACTTTTTTCCTTCTCCCAGGCCGCATCCGAGATCCGATTTTTCAATTTACGTCATTGTGTCATGTCGGAGCCCGATTTTTTATTTGGGACTCAAACTTTGTAAAAATACCGATTAACTCACAGGTGATACTGATTTTGGAGGTTTTAAGTTGAATGTCTCGCCTGCACTACGCGGCCCGGTACATCTAAGCTTTTCACCTCATTTGGGACTCTGTGCAGCTGACTTCGCGTTGTTAAACACATTTGAGCTTAAAATCGGATCAATGTATGGTTTTCAAACTACCGGGTTAACAACACAAGGGCAACAACAACCCCGCCCAAGTTGTATGACCATTCTCAATATTTCAGGAAACTGGGTTGGATGTGAAAAATTATTTGTTGTTAACATTGTTTTTTCATTCAGTTTTTCCAGTTAAAAGTCCTTTTGTAAAGGTGATCGTTTTCTGTTCATTTTGTTTAGTTCTTTTTTCGTAACAGATTTAATGTTTAGTAAGGAGCTTAGAAAAAATTTGCATTTTGCGATAGGCAAGAAGTAAGGCATGTAGCAACATCAGCACGGTAAAGGGCACTCATTTAAATGCAAAGAATGGCAAAAATATTTAAGTCTAGTGATAGCGATTGCTGTATGAGTCGTACGATTTTTGAATCAAGCAAGGACAACGCCGGGCAATGCTTTTAGTAAATTTATAATTTTTTTAAAATACAGACGAGCCTTATGGACACTCGGTATATATGTGTCTGTGCGTTTGTGTGTGTATGCATATGTGTCTATGCCACTCTATAAATAGTCTTTGTACACACACACACACACATATATATATATATATATATTCACTATACATCACTAAAATATCAATATTAACTAATATAAAAACCAAGTAATTATTTTGAATACATAAGCTATTATATAAATGCATGCTATTTTTTCTAGTGAATCATCTACAAGTGCATGTCTAAAATGGGTCTATTCATGAAAAATATATACAGAATTGTACGTTACAATTCGGGTTTTATTGCATGATATGCCTGCTTGTTTTTTCCAAATAACTGTGCATGTGTGTATCTACTTGCAATCCTCTGTTTAACGGTTTACTCAGTGAATCTTTATTGTGTGTATATAAACAAAATAGAAGCTGAAAATCATGTTTGTGTTTGAAAATCGTATCTGTTCGTGTTTGCGTGTCTTTGCGGTGTCTCCGTCTGCACTGAAGTAACTAAAAAGAAAGAAAATCACACGTAACAAAATAAGAAAAATTAAATAAGAAACAGACGAAAGAATGACAGAAAAAGAAACATTTTCTTTCAGCCATCATTAACACGCAACTCAACAGTTGATGCATATCAATCGTTTCTCATGTATTTGAACACGCGCGGGTAATCGTCTAAAAACGTCTTAAAATCGATACTCAGACGAAAAACATTTTTTTTCCTCACCACCACAAGCGAAAAGTGACAGGAACCAATTTGAAAGCGAAAATTTGTAAAATGTAAGCTTAAATAAGACTATGATAATAAGGCCTATTAGTCCTATCGGAAATAACAGCGCCAAGAAGTAAAATTCTAACAATAAAAACAATGTTCATTTCTTTTTTGAAACTCGCTGAAGAGATGAAATTCAACTGTAGATCTTTACAATTTGTTTATAGGACACAAATTGACACATCTAATTTCTTCTGTCATTAAGCTAGTAAACAAAAAATTATCACATGACAGCTGCTGCTATATGACTAAGAAAGCTGATTAATAAGTGTGAGAATGCATGTTCGTTTGTCGAGCAATAACTTCTTTTATGTGTCATGTCTCTTCAGGGCGATGTTGAACATGTCGCTCTACAGTTTTCTGATGTTTATAGCTCTTAGTAAATTATATATTTTTCTTATCTCTCCTAAACCTTGTTCGCCTTGTAGATTATGCGTTCTTTCGCTCTTGCCCACAAACTGCCCTATAAGTATGAAATATTCCCAACCTTCTATCAGTATAATGTGCCCTAGAAATGTCAACTCCCATGTTCTGATTCTAATTAAAAGGGCTCTTTCTCTATCTATTTTATCAAAACCTTTGTCATTGTTCACACGTTAGGTCCATAGTATTCTCAGCATATTTCTGTAGAACCAGATTTCTATTGATTCATCTGTGAAAAGTACATACATTCATTGCCATATAGAAGGATTAATATTAACTGCTCAGCACTCTTTGTTTCTAATGAAATATTTGCGTCTTGTTACATTGCTTAGCTTTTCTAAGGCAGCTTTCTCTCTTTTCATGCGCGTTCAGATTTCAGCGAAAATACTTCCTAAACATTTAAATTTTCCTCTCCGCTAGATTTTAGTATCTCGAATTCAGAATTCACATCTTGGACTGTCATTTTC